TGGTTTCTAGGGATTTTATTGGTTACAGGATTTTCATCATGAGCAGAAATTATTTAGAGAACCATTGGAAAACCTGGGAGTACTGGACGACTGTTTCCTCCGTCCTAGTTTGAGACTCTTCAGCAGTACGCACCCACCGGGATTCGAACCTAGGACCTTCTGGTTACAAGGCTAGACAGCTCGTAGACCATTAAGCCACTGGGACCCGATCCAAAGGTACACGAATGTCCATTTCTTTTCCGACTGCCTACACTGGAAACGATATGCCACAAATTACTTGGAGATACACTGATTGGCCATACTCTGAGGAAACCATCAAGTGACATCACTAGACTAGCCCTCGAGTGCAATCCGAAAGGGAAGTGGCGAGTTGGTCGTCCAAGGGTGACATGGTGGAGGTCATGTGAAGAGGAGATGAAAGCATGTGGACAGATTTGGAGCCAGGTGAAGACTTTAGCAGAGAGCCGGACGCAATGGAGACGTTAGGTTGAAGCCCTATGTTCCTCTAGGAATTAAAGGAAATAATAATAATAACCGATTATCAGTTAAATATAACCTCGCCAGATACTAGCTTGCTAGGCTACTAGCTTACTAGTTTTCTCGCCGGTCCCAAGCCCGGGTAAAGAGGGAGGGTTGGGGCGTGGTGCTAGCAACTCCACCCCTGTAAAACAACCAAATCGCTACAGAAACTTCAACGAATAAATATATTAAAAATTCTAAAAACATAAGCAATAGCCTTACTTTTCGCTGGAATCGGGGAAGTGAAATGACGCAGGCTGGTGAAAGCCTTCGGGAAGCCAGTCAGCCGATGTGCCTTCTTTCGATGAAAGCAAAAGTAAGGATGGGTACCTGGAATGTTCGTACAATGTACGAAACTGGAAAGGCTGCCCAGATAGCCGCTGAAATGAGAAGGTACAGAATAGAAGTGTTGGGAATCTGCGAAAGCAGATGGAACGGAACTGGAAGGTGCCAACTACCTACTGGAGAGACAGTAATCTTTTCCGGCCACCCAGAGGACAACCATGAGCACACCGAGGGAGTGGCCATCATGATGTCACCAACAGCAACCAAAGCTCTCATGCAGTGGGAACCAATCTCCTCCAGGATAATGACAGCCAGGTTCAACTCAAAAGGAAGGAAAGTTACAGTCATTCAATGCTATGCGCCTACAAACGTCTCAGAACAAGAGAAGAAGGAGGCGTTCTACAGACAACTACAAGCAATAATGGACAACGTCCCAAATGGCGATATCAAAATCCTGATGGGCGACATGAATGCGAAGCTGGGAGGAGACAACACAGGAAGAGAACTCACCATGGGTCGTGAGGCCCTCGGCGAAATGAACGACAATGGTGAACTCTTCTCAGACTTCTGCGCCTTCAATGATTTGGTGATTGGTGGTAGTGTGTTCAAACACAAGGATATACACAAGACGACATGGATTTCACCAGATGGAAACACCAAGAACCAAATAGACTTCATCTCAATTTCAAGAAAGTGGAGACGGAGCCTACTGGAGCAGATGTGGGTTCAGACCACTATCTAGTAGAAGGGACTTTCAAGGTGAAACTAAAAGCCTCGAGGATAGCTGGGGATAGGCCACAATGCAAGTTCAACACTCAAACTGAAGGACACAACCACAAAAGACACTTTCACTGCAACTGTCAGAGCAAAGCAGGAAACACTACGCGACATCACTGAAGAATCATGCGTGGAAGAACATTGGAAGTCTCTGAAGGCGATTCTCAACGAAACGTGTTCAACGGTTCTAGGAAGAAAGAAGAGACAAGACAAGGAATGGCTCTCAACGGACACTTGGAAATTAATAGAAGAGAGGAGAATGGTGAAAGAGAAAATGATTCAATGCAAGGACGGACAGGAGAAGGAGACGATGAGCTCAACTTACAAAGCACTGGACAAAGAAGTGAAGAAGAGTGCTAGGAAGGACAAAAGACGATTCTACGACAACCTCTCCTGAGAAGGCAGCAGGCAAAAGGGACCTGAGGACACTATATCAGATAACCAAATCTCTATCCGGGAAGAGACCAACACAAGCGAAACCTATAAAAGACAGCCAAGGGAACCCAATTACCAAGGAAGAAAAACAGATTAAACAATGGGCGGATCACTTCAAAGGACTCTTGAACCGACCATCACCTGCAACCCGTCCAGAAATACCAACAACAGCGCGCACACAACTGCAAGTTGACACCAATCCTCCAACGAGAGCTGAAGTCTTGAACGCAATCAAGCTTCTGAAAGCTGGAAAAGCAGCCGGACCAGATGGAATACCCCCTGAAGCACTGAAAGCGGACCCAGAGACGACAGCAGACATGCTGACTCCATTATTGCAAAAGGTCTGGAAGGAGGGAAAGGTGCCTACTGACTGGAGGAAAGGTTACCTCGTGAAACTACCAAAGAAGGGCGACTTAGGACTCTGCAAGAACTGGCGAGGAATCATGCTCCTATCGACGCCAAGTAAAATCCTGAGTCGCATCATCCTGGAGAGATTAAAGGACGCACTGGAGACAGAACTCCGACCAGAACAAGCTGGATTCAGGAAAGGCAAATCATGTACTGACCAAATTGCAACTCTACGCATCATCATCACAGAACAAAGCATGGAATGGCAATCAAACCTCTACCTCAACTTTATAGACTTTGAGAAGGCCTTCGACAGCGTTGACCGTGAAGTAATTTGGAAATTACTCGAGTACTATGGCGTACCCCAAATATTCATCAACCTTATTCAACAGCTGTACGACAACGGCACATGTCAAGTGATCCACAACGGAAAACTCAGCGAGGCGTTTGGAGTAAACACAGGAGTCAGACAAGGGTGTCTTATTATCACCAATGATATTCCTAATTGTGGTGGACTGACTGGATTATGCGTCAGACAGTGGGTGGGAAACGAGAAGACAGGAATATCCTGGACCGACGTGAAGAACCTAGAAGACCTGGATTTCGCGCGTGGATGATTTATGTTTGATGTCACACACAATCGAAGACTTACAAGCGAAAACCGACAAACTGGTCGAAGAAGCAGCCGGCGAAGACAGGACTCCAGGTGAACATAGACAAGACGGAGGTTATGAAAATAACCAACCAACAACAACGGCACCAACATCCAACGTCAATCACCATCAACGGGAGGGATTTGAAAGAGGTTACTTCATTCACTCATTATCTAGGAAGCATTGTCTCAACTACAGGCAGTCGGAACGGACGAGGATGTCAAATCGAGCGAGAATCGGGAAGGCGAGAAACACATTCATCATCAACCTGAAACCAATCTGGAAATCTTCGTCACTCAGCCAGCATCAAAACAAAATTCGGTCGGATTTTCAATACAAACGTCAAGTCAGTCAGTTCTTTCTTCTATACGGATCAGAAAGTTGGCGGGTGGGTCACAAGGAATATTTCCACAACAGCCTGTTGCAGACCTTTATCAAGCAACAACTGTCTTCGCTGGATCTATACTGAAGATCAGATGACCACACCGGAAAGAATCACCAACAAGAAACTCTGGCTGGGAACAAACAATGCAAGAATCAATCGCCCAACAAATATGCAGGAGAAAGTGGATGGTGATGGATGGGACACTCGCTGAGTTAGGTGGCCGCTGGGTGACATCGCTCGCGTCAGGCCATTGCTCGAGTGGAACCAGGCCGAAAGGGAAGCGGCGAGTGGGACCCAATGCAAGGGTGACATGGAGGAGATCGTGTGAAGAGGAGTTGAAAGAATATGGACTAACATGGATGTAGGTGGAAAATCCGGCAGAAGACAGAAGTGGCAAGTGGAGACGTGCAGCTGAAGCCCTATATTCCACTAGGAACCCAAGGGAGCAATAATAAATAATCATCAGTTAAATATTCTCATAGGTCGTCAAGTAGCCTTGCATAGTTCGAAATTAGCTAGCAATGAACGTCGCTCACCCGAGTTATGTCATACATAAATAATACCCGCCGCCCCCCCTTACCCGCCCACAGTCTAGTCAGACTAGATATCTCCTGTATTCTTCATCATGAAGGTACAAAGTAAACAAAAAACGATGATGCATTTTTTTCAGTTTAAGTTTTATTCTTTCTCAGTAAAAATCTTGTTCTACAAAAATTGAGGTGGGGTTGGATTGGGTAAGGTTAGGTTGGGTTGGGTTAAAAGTTAGTCATTATTATAATATTAGTAATAATAATAATAATAATAATAATAATAATCATTATTATTATATGAGGAAGCTTCTCACTCTCTTCTTTTTGTAGAGTTTTTATTGTATTTGCCAAAATTCAAAGTGAGTTATGTGTTTTTGTTCTATTTTTTTCCTCGAATTCTCATCATACCTCTTTGTACACAAGAGAAACAGATATAGGGTCAAATCATTCTCTGCCTTAATTATAGTATTATTATTATTATTACAACCACTACGAATATACTTCTAGATGTTTGCCTCTGACTTCCATGCTTTTCTTCTCTCTCTCTCTCTCTCCTTGTTTTGTTATCATGATAATTTGTATGTATTTATATTAGAAAAATAGGGAACAATAGCTTGCTGGTATTGTTCTAGTGTTATCGGAGTAGGAGGTGGATAGATAGATAGATGGATGGATGGATGCATAGACAGTGTGTGTGTGTGTGTGTGTGTGAGGAGTTTCACTTTGGATGTAAGCATATATAGATATATATATATATATGTATGCATACATATGTATGTGTGCCTGTGTGTGTGTGAACTTGTGAAAAGGCATCATAGAATACATATAGCAGCAAAGTCATTTCTGGGTTTGTCTAACAATATATCAATGCATGAGTTTAATTCTGTGTATATGCGTGTGTGTATTCGTGTGTGTGTGTGTGTGTGTCTGTCTATATAGGCGTTATCGATTTTCTATAATATTTCTTTATCTAAATGTGATTTCATCATTTCTCACACATTACATTTGAAAGAGCAATACAAAAAAAGACAACAACAACAATCCGCAATTCGAATAAATAGTATTCATTCATTCACGTTTAAATAAACTTCGTATTGTTGAACGTCTTCGTTGTTGAGGTAAGCCTGATCCACTAACACTACCAGCATTAACACCACTGACACCAGATTCATTTTGACCAGCATAATTTGAATCATAATCTTTCTCTGAAATACTACGATTCTGTGATGAACCTCTTGATAAACCTAATGATGGAAAATTACTTTTTCTCTGTGTAAAGTAAATAAAATAAATGAATAAAAAAATATTAAATAAAATGAAAAAGTGAATCAATGATGAAGGGATTTTTATGATTCATCAGAGAGATATTTTCAAGAGTTTGTCCTTTCTAGGCATTTGATCTGTCTCAAGTTTGATCGTGGATTGATGTAGAACAAACAACTAGCCAACGTTAACTTTGAAACAGTAGGAACTGAACTGTTAAACTTCCTTCTAATGACCAAAAATAGTGAACTAAGTGAGGTTAAAGGAATTCATCATGAGGTGATATTAGTTAGAGAACCTTTGGAAAATCTACAGGGAGTACTGGACAGCTGCTTCGTCAGCCTAGTTCGGGACTCTTCATCAGTACGCACCTACAGCCAGGGTTTGAAACCAGGGCCTTCCAGTTACAAGGCTAGAGAGTTCGTAGACCATTGAGCCACTGGGACCCGATCCATTGGTCAGCCCACGAATTTTAACTTCTGCCAATTCATGATATAGCGCGACCTTTAGCCGATGTCTTTGGCGAGTATTTGTTAAATCAAATCGTTACAAATTAACTCTTGAAAATTAATCTGATGATTGTCGATGACTGGTAACAGGATGAAGATTCCCGGAGTACTGATGCACAAGTCATGATTGATACAGTCCATCAGGTGGGTATGAGCAGAAACAATAACCGATGATATTAACAGGTGGTCAAGCAAAACTCGTTTATTGACAGAAGTTAGAATTTGGGGTTTATTGAATTCCTACCCAGGCGGCTGAATATTCAATGAGCTGGGACTCGTTTCTTGAAATTTTCGAGTTTTGGTTTTGTAGGGATTTTGTTTAATTCTATGGAGGATTTCGTCATGAGCTGACGTCAGTTAGAGAACCACTGGAATCACCACCTGGGAGTACTGGACAGCTGTTTCATCCTAGTTTGAGACTCTTCATCAGTATGCACCCACCGGGATTCGAAAACCAGGACCTTCTGGTTACATGGCGAGCTCGTAGACCATTACGCCACTGGGATCCACCGATCCAATGGTTGTTGAATTCTAACTTCTGCCAATTCACGACACAGCGCGACCACTAGCCAATGCCTTCGTCGATGAGTTACTGCCTCATCTACGTCCCAAACTAGGCCGACGAAACAGTTGTCCAGTAATCCCTGCAGGTTTTCCAATGGTTCTCTAACTGATGTCAGCTGATGATGAAATCCTCCATACAATCAAACAAAATCCCTACAAAACCAATACTTGAAAATTGATCTGGTGCTCACTAGCGACTGGCCTTATTCAGGCAGTTAACTTGGGTTTCTAGTGGGAATCCGTGACCAGTAGGATACAGCAGGTTGAAGATGAGGCAGTAACTAATCGAAGACACTGCGAAACGGTCGCGCTGTGTCCTGAATTGGCAGAAGTTAGAGTTCATGAGCTGGTCATTGGATCGGGTCCCAGTGAGTGGCTTAATGGTCTACGAGATCGCTAGCCGTGTAACTGGAATGTCCTGTGTTCGAAACCTGGCGGTTAGTGCGTACTGATGAAGAGTCCCAAACTAGGCTGATGAAGCAGCTGTCCAGTAATCCCTGCAGGTTTTCCAATGTTTCTCTAACTAATATCAACTCATGATGAAATCCTGTAACCGATCAAATCCCTACAAACTAACACTTGAATAGTTTCCGTAATTTCTACGGAATTTTTCTGCACAGCCTAGGTCGTTTTAAAATAAGAATAACATATTTTGGTTGTTCCAGAGTGATAGGTAAAAAAACTATCAGTCTACTATGCCTTCTCAAACAGCTGTAGTTATGTCTTCACTTTACAAAGGCTTGAGTAAGATTTCCTAGATAGTACCAAAAGAACTATTGTCTAAGTATCCTCCATGAGCGCTTCAATTTATTTATTGGTTGAATTAGTTTTCTTTGACGATGGAACAGTTTACAGGAGTTTGGAATTTGCTTTCCATTCTTTTATTCTGCGTTGATTTTATTTGCCTTTCTGAAGCATTCCAACATATTTTAATTGAATTTTAGATTTTCCTGTCGATTAATTGGACCGAAGTGCTCGGTCTCAAGTTGATATGTCGGCTACTTCTTGTTCTTTTCTTGTACTTTCCTCTCTTGCTTCGCGTGCTACACGGAGTGTGGCGACTTGAACTGCCGCACATTTGTGCAAATTTCTATGTCGAAAACAGACAGACAGACTACTTCTTGTGCAGATGCTTCGACGATGTCTGCGCATTTAATTAGTATTTGATTGGTGGATGGTGACTAACAGTGGAATCCAGGAAGCAACTACGCAAGAAACTGACATATCAACCTGAGACCAAGCACTTCGGTCCAATCAATCGACGGGAAAATCAAAAATTCAATTCAATAATTAATATGACCCGTTGCACAAGAAATAGGTGGCTTTTGTGGCCTGAGTGGTTTAGTGGATAACGCTTTGGCGTTTGAAATTATGGGTACTGGGTTCGAGCCTCGGTGGAAACGTCATCATCACTCACTGGGAAATGCAGGTACATCCACTGGCTGACGAGTTCAAAATAGGACGAAATGCGCCTTATCCTGGATTCCACTGCTAGTCACCACAAATTCAAAAAATATTCTAATATATACTCTTGAAAGTTGAAGGTATCAATACATCATTTCATTTGCCCAACAATGTGTTTGAAAGGAAGCATGTAGTTTGTCAATATGATGCCTAGTATGTACTTTAGCGAATTCCGTATGCGATTATTGCCATTATTACGGTGTGACGCAGCTTGATAGGAAGCGGCCAAAACTGAAATTAACATTTTAATTCGTCAGCTAGTAGTGTTTATTTCTCATTTTTGGATTTAGTTTAAGTTGTGGACATGAAATAACCTGATTGGACAGCTTGTATAACTCTCAGCCAGTCATCAACCAATCAGAAGAATCTGCTGTTCTCTGACCTGGTCGAAATTTAATGCGGTTAAAAAATGTATAAATATGAGGTGTTTTCCCTTAATAAACTTTTGTTACCAAATCTCCTCTCTTCCCTGAATAGTGTACAGTACACTCCTGAAATGTTGGAGGAATTTTTCTACAGAATGAAATTACAAGTTACACTCACTCCTGTTTCATTGTCTATCTTTACGTGTTTGCATGTTTTTAGCAGGTTATTGAGTAAGATATGGTGTGTGCATAGTGCACACAATAAAATTTGAGCCAGGAGTGTTAAACTACTTCTGTGCTTTTTTAAGTAGTATAAGCAACTGTGTAAAGAAATTTCTCTGGTATATACGTTTTTGTTTAGGTAATATTATGTTTAAACACAACATACAATTGAAATAATAGAAAAGATTTGTAACTCAGGTGGATGATTTGGAATTGATAGTGTTCTCTGAGCTCCTTGGTTTAATTGCGGAGCTGAAGATGTCGTCCAGAAAGACGATGAAAGCTCCGCAATTAAACCAAGGAGCTCAGAGAACACTATCAATTCCACAACATACAATTCTCAGAGTAATTCCATGCTAAAGATTTACTCCCCATGTAGAATCTTGTAGGTAACTATTCATCAATAGTAGCCCGTATGATGCAACATCATTCTCAAGTATTGGTTTTGTAGGGATTTTGTTTGATTGTATGGAGGATTTCATCATGAGCTGATGTCAGTTAGAGAACCATTGGAAAACTTGGGACTACTGAACAGCTGTTTCGTCCCAGTTTGGGACTCTTCATGAGTACGCAGTCACCAAGGTTCAAAACCCAGGACCTTCTGGTTACAAGGCGAGCTCATAGACCATTGAGCCACTGGTCAACTCAGTCCTCCACGACAGTTCCCCTTGATTTGCTTCTTAAAGTGCTTCACAGCACTAGTTTGGAAGCCAATTAGCTGTTGGCGTGAGTTTATATCGTGACCTAACTATATACCTGAAAGACTAAAACTCCAGCGACAACAGCAAGAAAGGAAGAAAAGTAGAGGTACTATGGTAGATGGAAGTTTCAGTAGATCAGCGTCTTAAGTGGACAGCCAGAAAAGATTGCCCATAAATGTGCTGATCATGAGTTTCCTATTTCTATATATATAAGTAAAAAGATCAAAAATGTCTTTTATTACATAAATTCTTTAAATTCCTTCATTTTCCCAGTGGAACATAAAGCTTCAAGCTAGAGGATTGAAGTTTCGATAGCAGTGGTGTTTATTTTAGCCTTATGTCCAACCTTCCAACCTCTTTACCAGTCTTATTACTTATCGGCTAAGCGAGGTAAAGGAATGCATCCACAGGGGCTCGAACCCTGGACGACATACATGGTCGGCAAGCATTCAACCGTTGTACCATCGATTCACTCATTACATAAATGGAAGCAATAAAGTGAGCAAAAACAAAATATACACTGATGAAGAAAGGAAGATTATGAATTCAATCACCTATCTCATTAACTAAATAACTTACAGTGTGTCGGTGGCAAAGCGGTTAGGACTCACGCTGACCATGCATATGATCCGGGGTTCGATCCCCGGCCACCGACGCACTCCTTTACCTCACTGAGCCAGAAATAAAGCTGGCTAGCAACCCCATCCTGTAAAATTAAACACCACAGCTACAGAAACTTCAAGCCTCTAGTTTGAAGCCCTCTATGTTCCATTGGGGAATGTGAAAGAATAAAAAGAAAACAAAAACTAACTTACATGTGGATTATTTGGATATGGATTTAAATCCATGACAATAACAGATTCTTCTTCATTTTCTGGAAATCGTCCAATCCCATTACGATTATAATCATCACGAGGATGATTAGGGGATTTAAAATTATTGTCTATAACTTCAGCATCATTGGTAGAACTATACGGACGATTAGTTTGTAAACGTGGTGAACTAGATTGTGGATTATAGGCAAGTCTTTCCTTTTCACTAGTTGACTGTTAAAATGTGAAAGAAAGAGAAGGAAATGTGAAATAGCACATTATAGGTAGTAAATTAGTTTATTATTAGGCTACCTGTTTAAATCACTGACTTACCTAAATTTCTATCGAGTTTAACGCATGTGACTGACTGACTAGTTTCAAGGTAGAACCTTGCACAGATGTACAGCAGTTCGAGTTGCTATATTCCCACCATGTAGCAGATAAAGCAAGAGAAGAGAGTGAAGCGAGGTTCAAAAGAGAGATAATAAACAGAAATTTGTGGTATAAAGAATAGTAATGTAGAAGAACAGTAGAATTTTATTGGATTTTATAAATCACAAGGAGTGAATGCATCTGCGCCGTCAATGAGAATGAATTTGAGCCATACTACCAATTGTCTTCAACCTTCATTGGTTCTTACCATCCCGAGGACCCTAACCAGACAGACAGCCAGCCAGTCTACACTTCCTTACATGGCTAGCTGGCTGGCTATCTTAAAGTAACTGTTGTGGATTTCATTGACTAATGAAGACATGTTTTGGTTTGATCACCACCAACTACTTTCCATCCCCATAGATTCTATGTCAGCTAAAATTGCTCTGGCCGTCGAGGAAGGCGATGGCTAGGGATACATATGCGACACATGTCCTAACCATCTTAATCGATGTAACTTCACAATCCCATCGATTTACTTTCTCTCCCTAACTAACACGACACCTAACCTCAATATTGCTCATCTTATCACACTGCCTAACACGGGAGATAGAACACATATACTGTTTAAATCATCTAAATGTGTTTTCGAGTCGCTTAATTGAACACTGGAACATTTTTTAGTTTGCTGTCAATGTAATGTAAACCGCCGCTTGAGGGAATTGAGTAAAAATATCGTGGAGGATTGGATACTGCTTCAGATTGAAAAACGCAGAGTCAGAAAATGTACTACCGGTGAAGTTAAGCATTAGGTACAGAATAGGTGCAAATGCATCAATAACCTTGGAACGCTAAGTTAGCTCGTTAGTGGAACCAGATAAATGGCCCTGTATTCATGAAAGAAATATGCTTAATGAAGTCGTATAATGTTGATGATGGGTATGTGGTAAGTTTAAGGTTACAGACGAGTTTGGATTAGGTTCAACTAATTTGGGAGATATTAAGGTTGGTTCAAGACTGGTTCAGGAAAGATTGACCTCGCCTAGTTAACTGGCTTGCTAGTATTCTAGTCAGTCCCGTGTCCGAGTAAAGAGGGATAGTCAGTAGTCGGGCAAGCTACATTACATCACAAAAATTATCAAACTGTTAGAGAAACTTCAAAGCGCAAAAATATATTAAAAATTACAAATAATTCAAATAACAATCTTATTCTTCTCTGGAATCGGAGGAGTGAAATGACGTGGGCTGGTGAAAGCCTCTGGGAAGCCAGTCAGCCTACGTGTCTTCCCTCGATGAAAGCAAGAACAAGAATGGGTAGTCGTGGACCCATCTGAAGAGGATGGCAGGAAATAGAACAAAGTGGAGATGTGTTGTTGAAACCCTATGCTCCACTAGGAACACAAGTGAATGATAATAAATAATAGCAAAAAGGAAAGATTAGGATAAGGGTTAAGTTAAAGATAGTTTAGCGTTATTATTACTTTATTTTATTTCTTTACGTTCCACAGGGAACATAAAGCTCCAAGCTAGAGCTCTGAACTTCCAGTGGCAGTGATTTTACTTTTATGGGGTGGGATCACAGGCCGCACGCCCAATCTTACCTTTTTGTCGTTATTACTGTCAGCTTAGCGAGGTTTAAGAATGCGTTGGCCAAGATTCAAGGCCCTAACCATATGAATGATTGGCGATCATTCTATCACTGAACCACCGACGCAGAAAGTGCTTAGTTAGAGACCTAGCCTAGACGCGAACTCGAATCGTTGGATTCATGGTCTAGAGTGCTAACCACTGCACTACGAGGCTTAGATCAGCTTTTGAAGACCGAATTTAACTTTCAGCGCTTTGATTCTTCCCTGCATCGTCGGTTCCTAAAGTTCTGTACTGCCGAATACTGCTCTAATTGAAGGGAATGATACATAAAAGGATTATTTTAACACATGAACTGACTTTTTGATTTGATTAGACTTAGCAAAATGATCAGTTGACTCGTGAAAATTTGTCTCAATAGTTGTGTGATGTTTTGTTACAATTTTAAAGAGTGACTGGAGTAGCGGTTACAAAAGGGAATCGATCATAGTGGGATTCAGATAACAAGTTAATCGTTAATTTAATCCCAGTTCCACTTCGACTAATAATCAATCGTGTTTTAATAGGTCAAATAAACTATGGGCGACAAAGGCTAAAGTACATATAATATGTGACATGCTTATGAATAATCCAAAGTGCTTCCAGCATCACCTTTAATAATGTCGAATTAAAGTTATGTGAAAAGAAGTGAGAAACAATCACTAATATTGATTTTATGACAGGGCATTAATATGTGCCGTGTAGTAGACGGTGACGGATTTCTACTCAGATGAGATATTTTTCGATTCTCTATGTGACATAATAACCATTTAGGAACATGCTGTTTTCCGTGGCACTGGAACAATCTATTCAAATTTAAATGAACTCGAAAGTTCGGGAAAGTGATTAGAATGAATAAAGTGATGTTATTGGACAATGTAATATTGTACAGAAAATGGCACACCGTTTATTTTCAATGTAGTGTTGAATAGACTGGATTATAATTAATGTGATGTTCAAAACTGACCTACATTAAGGTAGTTATGCAGCCTAAGTGTTTAGTCTAAAGAATACAGCATCGTAATACAGTAATATTTCATTCTATTTTATTCACTACTGTGTTTTATTGAACGGTAGAATATACTTGTCAGTCACGTTTACAGTCCGGGTTCGATTCCCTGCTAATGCACGTTGGGGATAAGGCTAGCACCCGTACTTCTTAAAAAAACACTGCTACTGAAAATACAGAGCTCACGCTTGAATCCTTATGTTCCACTCGGAACGCAAGGGAATGAGAGTACCCAGACCTACAAATATCTTGCAGTAGTCCCCCAAATGTAAACATATTTAAAAAGGGAAGGTGTTAGGACTGACAGTCTGTATTTGTTAGCCATGAAGTCATGACTGATGCATGCGTTGCCATGACAACCTGATTGGACAGTTTTTATTTATTTATTTGTGGTTTGAATTTCTGAGGATTTGTAAACGATGTATATACATTGAATAGTAACACACACTGTATTTACGGCTTGATCACGGATTGATATCATTTAGAGAACCATTGAAAACCAGAGTGTACTGGATAACCAGCTTTTTCATCCTAGTTTGGGAACCATAGGCAGTTACAAGGCAAGCTGACTCGTATATCATTCAGTCACTGGGACCCGACTCAGTGCCCCCTTGAATTCTAACTTCTACCAATTCGTAATTTAGCGCGACTAACAAACAGTGTCGTCAGTGGGAAATCCATCCACACCCCTGACTGGATGGACCTCATTGGTTACGACTTCTCACTAGAACTCAAGGAAACCCCATCCTGTAGTAAGTCACTAGGATGCCTTAGGTTAATTTTCTATAGTTGGTTTGTTACGGTTAGTTTTGTAGGTGCGTACAGCAGTTGCTTCCAAAGCTAGTGGGATGAAACAGCTGTCCAGTACTCCATGAGTGTTTTCAGTGGCTCTCTGACTGATATTAACCCGTGATTAACTCGTAAAAACACAACTAATCCTTACAAACCAACTATAGAAAAACACTGTCTTTTGTTGTTATCGAAGTTTAATCTAAATTTAGTCTCCACATCAGTGGGGGGAATATTTTCAGGTGATCAGTTGCCTATAGGGTGTATTCTAGTCAGGTTAGGCGACAATTAGAAGTCAGTAACACTCCGTTATAATATATATGTATAAACATGATTTCACCTTTCCTCGAAAGTACTTATTCTAACTTTCGCATAAAAAGATTTTTATGTTTCTATTCATACTACTTATTAGTAACACAAAAGTATATCATGATTTAGTTAATATCTGACCATTGATAAGACTGAAAATTTGTTCAGCACATTGATATGGATGTTATTTCATCGACTGTGGTTTCAAGCTATAATCCAAATAAAAAAATACAGTGGACAAATAGAGAAAAGAAAATAGTAAATTTACCAGAAATATAATGAGTAGAAACGTACGGGAGAGAGAAAAGTAATGTGGAAAATTATGAGAATTTTGGTGTATCTGGGTCATTTTTTTTCTTCCTTAACGTTCCCCAGTGGAACATAGGGCCTCGAGCTAGTGGCTTGAAGTTTATATTGCAGTATTCAATTTTTACAGGATGGGGTTGCTAGCCTCATGCCCAACCTTTCCTCTTCACCAGCATTATTTCTGGCTTAGTGAGGTAAAGGAGTGCGTTGGTGGCCGGTGATCAAACCCCGGACCATGTGCATGATCGGCGAGCATTCTAACCGCTATGCCACTGAGTGATTATGAAGAGTGAATATATCTTCGTCACTGAGGACGCTTTTACGGCATAAAACCAGTAATCTCAGGCTAATGGTTCTTAGGATCCTGTGGACCACATTAAAGCAGTCTTGACTCCACTATATGGCTGACTTAAAATAATAGTGGACTAATGTCATGTTTTTAGTATGATCACCCATAACTCTCTTCCAACCTAATCATGTATCAAATAGGATTGTTTATAGAGTAAGATGGTGGCTCGGCATGAGTAACACATGTCCTAGATGTTTCAGTCGACTCAAATTCAAAACTTTATTGATCCATTTCCCCCTCCCTGCCTAACACTTTGCGTATAGCCTCAGTATTACTCACCATACCATCCAAAAAGGGGGAAGAGGTCACAAACATCTGTAGTTAGAAACACCTAGTCTCTTCAAGTCTTCCACGTTTAACAGGGACGTCTCACAGTCAAAAAGAAGGATAGAGCGAACTGTTGCGAATTACACACCTCCTGGATATCACATTTACTTTAGGGATGACGTAAACTGCCTAATGCCAAATGAGACT